CCCAGCATTGAATGAAATAAAGTCTTCTGTCTTAATTATATAGATAGAATTGAAACTGTCGTGCAACTGGATTTCCCCAAGGCTCTTCCTGTTGACAGGATGTCTTGAGTCACTAAAGTGATCAGGAACATCAAATTCTCACCAGAAAAGCAGCTGATTGACATCACCATCAACAATTTCATGCTTGTCCTGTAGTGCACATCAACAAGGCATTTTGACAACTCCGAGGCTGGTGTCAGTTTAGAATTGACATATACAGCTGTGTACCATTGGTAAAGCAGCTGCAGTCGAGATTGCCCTGTCTGATAGCCTTAATCAGAGGCAAAAATTCTTGCCAATGGTCAGGAAGAACTATTAAAAAAAACATTTTAGAGACAATGACAGCTGCTCAGTAAGCAGGCATGTGTAAGAGCAGTGGACACTTTTGTCTAGCTACTTGTGTTTCTGGTCTGTGACTAGTAGATGATGAGATAGGATAGTACAGCCTTTGGGAGGAGCTGTATACATCAGAACTACTTATTATTTTATTACAGTAACATATTGTAGGGTTACAAGCCAGTCTAGAAACCTGTGAAGAAAAATATTTATTTTATTTTCAACCTAAGCTAAAACCAGTCCTTTGCCTTCAAAAATGGACTGGAATATCTAATAATCAACACAGACAGAGTAAGCTGATACAGAAAGGCAGAACATAAAGTAAGATTAAAAACTGCTGAGAAAAGAACAAAATGGCATTGAACACATTTAAGGGGAAAGAAGAAAGCAAATTTATAAGCAAAAAGAAGGCAAAATATCTGGAGTAACCAGATGAGTTCTTTAAGCTGTCAAAAGTTATGATTAACCTTCACACACATATGATAAATTCATTTACAGATGAGTTGTATATGCTTTAATGTAGCATTTAGAGCCAGTCAGCCTTAAAGTTCTCCCTTAGTACCTGGAAGGAATGGTTGCCAATGGGTTAGTACATAGTGATGCAGTTCAGTCTACTTAATCTTAACAAAACCAATATGTTGGTGGTGACCTTGGTAATGCTTTATGGGAGGAGGGTAAGGTTGTAAATCTGTCAGTTGCAAACTTGAAAAAGTGGCAAGGCAAATATGTTAGACAATTTGGAGCAACAAGATGTGCTACTTCGGTCTCCCAAAGCTACATGGGCTGAAAATGAGGATGACTCCCCAATGAAATGCATCAGTTTTCTTTCTCTGGTGTCAAATTTGTGGTATGAGTGAGATTAGATATGGAAATATGAAGTTCTGGCACACAGAAAAACTTACAACCAGTTGTTTGGAAGAAGACTGACACAGGAACTGTTCCTTTAAAATGCTGAAATAATTATTAAGACGTTAATAATGAGCAAATAGTACATTAATTGCTTATATAGTTTCACAATCATAACACATGGAGAGATACTGAGTTCCCAATCTCTGATTTTTTTTGCTTCCCTGGATCTACTCTCATTATTTTTCTCTAACTGAATTAATCAAATTCTAACTATCCCAGAATGCTGCTGTCACTCACGTAACTCTTCTTCAACATTTTATAGTCCTAGGTTAGGGCATTAACAGAGGCAGAGGAAAAAAATGAATTATATGAAATTATATGCAACTCTCCTGTCTGTTACTGTCATCTGAATCTACGGCTAAGATATTGGTGATAGATCTCTTGTCTGTTTTCAGCCTTACCAGTTAAAGATACTATAAGGTTCATCAAATCTTTGTGCTAGTGTCTTCTTCTATTATTAAAATGTATATGCTGAGGGCCCCTACCCCAGTATTTTCAGAAAATAACAATTAAGAACAGTAATGGACTATTTTTATGGTCTTTTCACTTAATTTCGCACTCAATGTAGATGAAATGCTTGATCCTTGCATGTCTTTTTACAAATCAGTTGTTTGGAAGAAGGCTGACACAGGAGTTGTTCCTTTAAAATGTTGAAATGAATGTTCTCTCCTCTTCCTCCTCTCTTCAAATTCTTCCCTCCTTACCATGTTGAACTTAACCCATGGTTCAGTTTTGCACACTAGTGCCAACCAGGGTTCTCATTTTAACCAAGGCCTGCAATCTTAATTCAAACCCTGTTTGACTGAAGCCCTGTTTAACATTAACTATGGTGAATATGGGTGCAAAACATGGTTAAGGCTGAGAAGAGAAGGGGGGGGGTTGTGGGAGGGGGCACTTGGTCCTGACTCTGGCTCCTATTTTGCAAACCTTGGCAGCAGACCTTTGAGTACCAGTACCAGGAGGCAGCATCAGGGGAAGCTCTTGGCCTTTATTCACTGTTTGTTGACCCTTCAGGGTGACTTATTGATTACTATGTGAAACAGGTTGCTGGACAAGATGGAACATTGGTCTGATCCAGCAGGGCTATTCTTATGTTCTTATGCCATTAAGCAACATTTCTTTGTGGTCTATTGAATTAATAATATTTTGAATATGTGTAGTCTTAGAGAAAATGGGGGAATCTTAAGAGTCTTGTGCATGCTAAATGTTTCTTTTACTTAAATGGCTTGTGAAACACTGGAAGAACTATGCTGGTATGAATGGAATACTGCTTATGTAAAGTACCTTAACCTGGACAGCCCAGGCTATCCCGGTCTCATCAGATCTCAGAAGCAAAGCAGGGTCAGCCCTGGTCAGTATTTGGATGCGAGACCACTAAGGAATACCAGGGTTGCTACACAGAGGCAGGCAATGGCAAACCAACTCTGAAAACCTCACCTTGAAAACCCTATGAGGTCGCCATAAGTCAGCTGTGACTTGAAGGGGAGGGAAAGGTGCTAATGTTGGGCTGCATAAAAAACGAGAGGCATACTGAATTTGGATAGGAAAAGGGTTTTGATGCTTGATGGTACCTGGTGCATGGTGGTCAGAGAGTTGATTCTTGGTTCCATTTCCAGCTGAGTAATGTAGTCTATCTCGGGCAAGCCTTCTCCACTGCCTCCACATACTGCTTTGCAAACCTGTTGTAAAGAATAAAACTGTGAGTCCTCGTATGCCATCCTTAGCTCCTTGAAGGGGAAAGGGGTAGGTTAAAATGTAATCAATAATATAAGAGGAGGAACTAACTACGTACTAATCTGATGTGTATCCTGAAGTACTTATTTTGACTTGCACACGTAGAAGCAAATTCTCTGCTCTTTCTTAAGAATATATTGCAAGTTATTCCTAGTTGGTTTGGAAGTGCGGGGGAGAGAAGGGAGAAAAGAACGGGGGTGGGAAAGAAATAAGATTGTAGGCAAGAAATAGAGCTGACTATCTGTTATTAAGGCACAAAGGAACCAAAATGGCTCATGGCACAGGAGAACATTCATTTGGAAAGAAATGAAACTTTGAGCTGCATTTTCTTGAGATGAAAATGTTTTGTGGGGTTTTTTTTGCTTGCACGGAATCTTACGTCCTGATTTACTGTTTATACAGTATTTGTGCTGTCATTAAAATGGTACAACAGCTGCGGACACTATTTTAGAGAACTCATTTTGACAGGATAACATCTGGGGGGAAATAACCGTGAATCAAAAGAACCATGCTGAGCTATTCACATTGCTTTTTTCCTTTGATGTTCTGTTGCATACACCGGGGAGGGGGTGATAGTTAATTTTTTAAAGAAAAAAATCCAAGGCTTTTTGAAAGGGCAGTAGCAATATCCAGAGAAGCTTTAAGCTGTGTACCTGACTTAACTGTAAATTAATATAATTGATAAACCAGATTAATATGATTAAATCTTTTCAGAAAAGTAAATATGGAAGTGTGTGCAGTTGTTTGTGCAGGTATGGGGACAGTAATCAGTGAAACATGCAGCATCCATAAAACTTCACATTTTGTCTTATGGGATTTCGTGCATCTGATGAAGTGGGCTAGAGCCCATGACTCCTTATGCCACAAAAAATGTTAGTCTTCAGGATGGTACAGGACTGTTCATTGTTCCTGTTGCAAGAAACTACCAGCATGATCTCTCTACCACAGTAGAACTGGCTGCCACTGGATGTAGCAATGGCTACAAGTGGAGATGAATTAAAAGAGGGAACTAGATAAAATTTTGAGGTAATTAAAACATCAAAATCAGTTTTGTTAAAATGGTCATAAAATGCATCATTGTGTATAAATTGTTAGCATGAGGAACAACAAAATCCTTACTGTGATCTCCTGCTACATATAGTTCCATAATCACATACAGTTTCCATGCTTTATGATACCTCAGTGGTATCATAATAATGTATGGTTTCCATGCTTTATGATAACCTCATTGCACCAAATACGATGTTAGAAATGCAACAAGGAACTTTTTAACCACTGTCCATAGTGCTGGATAGCAATCTGAAATTTCCTTCTGTAACCAAAACTATTGGTAGGATTTTTTAAAGTTTGACTTCAGCGCAATGACATTTTTTAGCTCAATTAGTTTTTCCTCCACTACCCCGCCTTTATCAGTATCTGAAAGTGGACTTATCACCCAATCTGAAATTTCCATTGAAAGAAGATCCTCATATCTTCATGCAGCATATCCAAATGGTCACAAAAACGTGCAGATGATCATCTTATATCCCACCTTTCTCTTCTAGCTCAGGCTTGGAAATTGGTATAGGTCGTGATAGCCTACATTGCGTTTGAATAGAGTTAACTTTGAAATAAACATAGAGATGACAGATTTGGCCTCATTTGCTTGCAACTTCAAATTCATTTCATTGAACTTTGCAAATAGTTCTGATAAATAAGCAATATCATGCCTGATCTCTTTGAGTTCATCACTGAGCAAAGCATTCGTATCTTCAGAAAACTCCACAACAGTATCAAAAAGGTCATAAAAGCATCTCACGCAGTTGCTTTCTGATAGCCAATGAACTTCAGTGCGAAGCAGCAAACATTCAAAAACTTCATCATTCTAAACACAGAGCTTGCAGAATAGTCAATCATTGACAGCATGGGCTGTAATTTTATTCACTGCAGTAATAACAGTGTGTATGACCTGCACATCAATCACTGAGGTTTTTTGCAACCAGATGTTGGTGACAAATGACACAGTGAACGAGAAAGACATTGGGCACTATTTTGTTCAGGTAAGTCACACAACCACAGTAGTGACTGGTCATTGATGGTGCTTCATCAGTTGCACAAACAAGTATGTTAGTAAGCAAAATTTCCTTGTCTTTGAAGAACTGCTCAACAATATGAAATATTGACTCTGCTTTAGTATCTGTTCTTAATTACCTTGCAAATATCAACTTTTGCGCCAAATTTTAAACTTTTATAAAGTGTACGTAAGCAAGAAGCAAAGATTCATTGCCTGGCAAGTTGGCTCATCCAGCTTCAGGCCCATAGCCATGGGGGGCACATGAGGGTGATGCCCCCCACAAATATGTCCAGCCTGCAGGAGGGGAGGGAGAGGGGTGACCTCACTGGGTCTTCCTTCTTCCACAGGAAGTTCAAGAAGCTGCCTTGGAGGCAGGAAGACCTGGTGAGGCCACCCATCTCTCTCTCCTCCTGCTCAACCGTGGTCGCTACTGTGTGGCCTCGCCGAGTCTTGCTACTTCCTGCTGTGGGCCGGCAAGCCAGGGATGGGAAGTGAAGGAGCTTGGCTTTGGGCCTCCCACACTTTGCCAGTAGAGCCTCCATTCCACGGCGCCTCTGCCGTCCAAGGGGACTCCTTTGCTGAGAGGAACCACCCCACCAGCCCACGAGGTAAGGCAAAGTTTCTACAGCCTCTCTTCTGAGTAGGAGGGGAGAGAGAGGGGCAGCCTCACTGGGTCTTCCACAGCCAGCCTCTCAACGTTTGCACAGTGGTTGCTCCTCTCCCTCCCCTCCAATGGGAGCCTGAGCTGCCGGGGGGGGGGGGACTTGGGAACCCCACCCCCCAGCCAGCAGGTCCAAAATTGGCCCTCCCCAGCAAAAAAAATCTGGCTACTGCCTTGCCAGCTGTAATGCAAATTCTGTTGTCAGTATGCTGCACAACATATCTTCCACGTTTTCAGCCATTTCTCAGCTCTCTGTGGTGGTGATTGTGCTGCTTTTCATTTTCCTGCAGATCTCCAGAGGCTGCAGCTCTCTGGAGGCTCCTTCTCAAGTCACTCTGTTCTCTGCCCTCAGACACAGATAGCTTCTGTCTCCTTTTTTCTTCTCAGAACCCTCTCTTTTCACTCAGAACTCTCCTATAGCTCCCACTTAGGGACAAAATGCCTCCCATCCCCAAACTCCAATAAAGGGCCAAACCATACAGTTACACTTCTATAGCCTAGAAATATTAATACTGGACAGGCTTCAACAAAAATAAAACTTATATAGTGAAAAAGCACAGTTCATAAACAACAGGTTCAGTAACAGAGAACACAGGAAAATAAATACAACACACAATACTGTTATGTTAAGGACTTAGCAACAAAATCTTGAAAAATGATGAAGAGACAAAAACACGCACACTGATGACAGTTTTGTGTAGTGGTTAAGTGTGCGGACTCTAATCTGGGAGAACCGGGTTTGATTCCCCACTCCTCCACTTGCACCTGCTGATGTGACCTTGGGTCAGTCACAAGCTCTGGCACAGCTGTCCTTGAAAAAGAGCAGTTTGTGTCAGAGTTCTCTCAGCCCCACCCACCTCACAGGGTGTCTGTTGTGGGGAGGGGAGGGTAAGGGAAAGGAGTTTGTAAGCCGCTCTGAGACTCCAAGTGAAAGGCGGGGTATAAATCCAATCTCTTCTTCTTCTTCTTTCTCAAAACGTAGTATACTGCTCTGATGTGAACTCTGGTGGTACATTTACTAAAATTCTGATAGTTTCCTCCAGATTTCACCACTATGGAGAGGCAAACACTTGGAATGCCATTTGCCAGCATCTAGGCCCGGTCAATCATAAATAAATCAACAACATATTCCAAGGGGCCACTTTCAATGCCCCCCAATGTCTCTTAGCACCCCCTTAGGTAATCCCACTGCCCCCAAGGGGGTGGTACTGCCTGTTTTGGCAGCCACTGTTCCAATTTAAGCTCTGGATACCCTTGTAGTACTCCCATCCATGCCATAATAAAGCACCACAAAGCTTTTTCAAAGTTTCTGCTCTCTGAGTTACTGTGTTACTTTTCTGTTTTTCCTCTAAAGGAAGTATAACATTGGTGTCAGAGACAAAACAAATTGCTGATTATTCTACTCATCACAGGCAAAACTAATAGGGATTTGGTTTGTCTGTGCATCAGAATGCTGTTTAATAAAGTGAAGGCTAAAAGTCATCAGCTGATAGATAGGTATTTATCCTCTTATTAACAGGCTCTCTACTATGCTCCTGTTCTCTCCTCCTGCAGTCCCGCATTTCTAAATGTGAAAGTGATAAGTTTACTTCACATTAGATGGTCATGCTTTTCTTTTTCTTCATGTTCATTCATTGTGAACTCAATTTAATATTCATGCTAGGGAGACGTGATGGGAAATTCTGATCAGCAGATTGTCCCTTTTTTAAAAAAATGATGTGGGGACTGAAAAATTGCCTACCATTTGAGGGCTTGGTTAAAGTGTCTTGTAAATGTGCCAACAGGCAGAACGTGATTTAGGATGTACATTTTGCAAATCAGCACCTTCATAACGGCACTGTAAGATATGAGAGTGAGATGGAAGCCAGTGCTTACACTAATGCAGTCTACGGTGAACAACATTCCTAAGTGAGAATCCTTGACATCTGTCATGCAGCTGCTTGTCCCTTGCTCATAAACATAGATGAATATGGTGAAATATTGCACTGCAAGGCACAGTTTTCTCTGAACAGCTTAAGAACATAAGAACATAAGAGAAGTCAATGTTGGATCAGGACAATGGCCCATCTAGTCCAACACTCTGTCACACAGTGGCCAAAAATACCAGGTGCCATCAGGAGGTCCAGCAGTGGGGCCAGGACACTAGAAGCCCTCCCACTAGTGTCCTGGCCCCACTGCTGGACCTCTTGATGGTACCTGGTACTTGAAATGCTAAGAACCACCATTCCTGTATTCCTGTAATAGTACAAAAACCTGAAAACAAAATGTGCACTGAAAAGTTACTGTGACCATCTGATATAATAAAATGTACTACTTCATTTGTTAGTTTGCCAAAGCATATGGAAAGGACTCTGTGAATCAGTGTGGAATTGGACCCTTCCTTCCTTCCTTCCTTCCTTCCTTCCTTCCTTCCTTCCTTCCTTCCGTTTTTGCACAAGCCATAATTTGATATTACATATAAACTGGCAAATTTGTACTTCCCCTTTAAACAAGTGAGAAGATGTCAAGATATATGGTTTAGACTAAATTGGAAGTCACTAATTGACTACAAATGCAGAGGGGATGAGGCAGCACACAGCCAGAGGGCTTGTTCACATATGACCAAGCACTTCGTTTTTTAAAAAATATGGAAAATAACAAGCTTGCAATATACTCAGTCTAATATAATTTTCATTACTATAGATAACCTACTCTGCTTAGCTAGGCTATAAAATTTCTAAGTACTGTAAGGCTCACCACATCAGAAAACATTGGTTCACAGTACAAAGCTGGCTGAAACTTTAGGTTTACCCGGGGAGAGAGAAAGGGCCTTCTCCAGGTCAATATGGTTGTCTCCTTCCTATTAACTGAATCCAAGCCATTCCTGTATTCTCTTAATGATCTAGCAGCTGTTTGTCTCTTGTAGTGAGTAGTGTCAGTTTGTTTCGGAGACCTCTGTTCTGTCTTTTCATTCCAGAAATTTTCAAGATCGCTTACAAAATAGAAACATAAAATAGTATTACACAAGTAGGAACCCACAAGAACTTATGGGAGGCATCTCATTTCCCCCTCCCCCAATATTCTATCTTTCCCTTTTCTGAAAGCCCCATAGCTTCTCCCCTTTTCCTGCTTCCTTCTCTGCTTCAAGAGTTGCCAACCTGGAGATCTGTATTCGCTCTATGCAGGCTTACCCTTGAGGCTGACCCAGAAATTACAGCTGGTGCAAAATGCAGCAGGTTCATGTGGGTTCATGTTTGGCAGGTCCTCCGCCAATTGCATTGGTTACCAGTAGAGTTCTGGATCTGCTTCAAGGTGTTGGTAATAATATGTTGTTGAAGGCTTTCAGAGCCGGAGTTCATTAGTTGTTGTAGATTTTCTGGGTTGTCTGGCCGTGGTCTTGGCATTGTAGGACCTGACGTTTTGCCAGTAGCTGTGACTGGCATCCTCAGAGGTATAACACAGAAAGATGGATTACTCTCTGTGTTAAGGTGAGAAGAAAAATGGTAGGCAGGTAATTTATATCTACTCAGGAAGGTGGGGTAGGGCTGAGTCATTATCATGTAGGAGTTCCCCAGACTGTGAAGATGCTAATGGGGGAGCTTTCATGAGGAGATTATTTTGTATAAGGATTGTTTCCTGAGGAGGTTCTTTTGCATAAGGATTGTTTCCTGAGGAGGTTTCCTGTTTCCTGAGGTTCTTTTGCATGTGGATTGGCTGTTGAAATTCTAATCTTATCTGTTGTGCTATTGTCAGATGTAGAGGCTTTTGTGTTTTTCAGGACAGGAAACCATGCCCTATTTATTTTTAAACTCTCTTCTTTCCTGTTGAAATTGTGTTTATGTTTGTGAATTTTAATGGCTTCCCTGTGTAATCTGACATGGTAATTGGATGTGTTGTCCAGACTTTCAGTTCAGTGTCTTGGAACAAAATACTATGTCCTGTTTGGGTTAGGCTATGTTCAGCCACTGCTGATTTTTCAGGTTGGCCTGCAGTGTTTTTCATGTTCTTTTATTCTTGTCTGAATGCTACGCTGTGTGGTCCTGATGTAAACCTTTCCAGAACTGCATGGTATGCAGTATTCTCCTGTCTTTTGCCGATTTTAGCATCTGTTGTATTTTTCTGGTGGGTCTGAATACGGTTTGTAGGTTGTGTTTTTTCATAAGTTTTCCCATCTAATCAGTGGTTCCTTTGATATATGGCAAAAACACTTTTCCTGTGGGAGACTGTTTTTCTTCAGTTGTTTGTTTTACCTTTGGTTTAATTGCTCTTCTGATTTCATTCTTGGAGTAGCCAAGTGTGTCTTTTACCGGAATCTTGTTAATCAGATTTTTCCGGATGACATAACA